TTCAACTGCAGCATCAAATCGCACTCTTTATTCTTTGCCGCGGGAATTTCACCTCTGTAACCACTTTGCCACTCACTGCCTTTCACTGGCTGAACTAATTTAATAAAAAAAAAATTGGCAGATCCCACGTACAGTGGGAATCGATGATTGGCGAAGCACGAATGAGGAAAGTTTAGATGTCAGTTTAAAATCAGAAGAATGTTACGAGGCGGAGGCAAATTATACCGTACATAACTTTCATGTAATAATTACTATGTTTGGACGTGTCATTTACCTTCAACTATTCACGCCACCTGATAGCGTTCTGAGTGAGGTATCTATACGGTAAGGGGATACGACACACCTGTCCGGCACGTACGACGCAGGTACTTAAAGAGAAAAAAAAAAGACGTAGAGACAGAAACTTGGAGCTAAACAACCAGAAGCGCAATGGAAATTCGCTTCAATGGCCATTCACAAGAGTTGCGCAACCCAAGATGCATCCATGTAATGCGAAGGAACTTCGGTGGCTTCAAACCATAGCTTTCGCGAATTAACTTCGCAGTGCCTCTACGGGAGTGCACTGCCTCTATGGAAGTTCTCTATAGATAGATGCACTGCCTTCAATGCACTTGGAAGTTCGCAGCACGGCGTAAAAGGACCTTTGATGGCATAATCAGACCTTTTTCACTGCTGAACCCATTCACGCGTTGCTATCTCTTTCCCGATTATTAGGTGTCAGTTAGGTAAAGCAGCCTATACCGTACGAAAACTAGTCATACGAGTCGTTTCAAACAAGTATGCACTCGGTCTCTAGATTGTGCGACGCTGCACTGAATTGGCCTAAACCATCACGCAGGACAGCAGCTGCCGAGACTGGACTTTTTGATAAAGAGGGCGTAGAAGCAGGCAACGCTGTCTACTTTTCGCGCAGCCTGCGAAGCCACAAGCAAGCCTGCGGAAACAGGTTTGAGAGGGGAAAGAAGAAGATGGTCATAAAGAAAAGGATGAAAAAAAAAAGTACATAGGAGAGAAAAACCGGTGAAAGGACACGATGCGATCGAAGCCGTTTGCTTCTGCCGCAACGTCCACAAGCGGCGGCTGCAGCCTGTGGAAACCGGGAAGCCCTACGACGCTGATGATACCGGATCGGGCGACAACGATTTCTCCGGCGCGCAGGCGGGGCCGCTTTCCAGATGACCCAGTTGAGGACGGTGCGCGCAGACATGCAGGCGCAATGGCTGTGATTTCACTCGCTCGCTTTCATCACCGCCCTCCTTCCTCCTATACTGTTTCACTCTCCCTCTCGAATACCCACTCTCCGCAGACGTATACCGTCTATCTCGCAAAGCATCCGTCCATGCCGACTGTTTGAGCTTTCCATTTGTCGATCACCAACCGAACGATGATGACACCGTTACGACTGGTACGCGACATCACGCAAAACATTACGCAGAGGACGTCTAGCGCAGATGGTCACACAGATCTGCCAGACGTGATCTGCCAGACGATCTACCAGACGTGATCTACCAGACAGATCTGCCACACAGATCTGCCAGACGTGATCACACACGGACGGTCTGCCAGACGTGTTGCGTGGAAGAAAGTGAATGTAATTGAGCTGTGGGAAGGGCATTGGTACCTGCTTCTTTAAGATTATAGCAAAGTGTACAGTACTATAAGTAACTCATGAGGGCGCAAGGTATCTATGTTGCACGCCTATTGGGTATCGTTGATATATATTTTTTATAATATTTCAATCAAACAGTAAACAATTCGTTAATTATATTAGAAGAATTTATTAGATATACATATCGTTTGTCTTTGGAGGTGTCACATATACGACCTCAACGAAAGTTCTGGGTCCACACTTGATTTGAGAGACGTGTACACCTTCCTGGGTTTGGTAGTCGCGGCCCACTAAAATGGCCTGCGTGGAGTCCTGATGACAAGCAACCTGATCTTGTTAGGCATAGGCTAGAGAGGAAGATTATCGCACAACAAAGAAAGCGTATTTACGAACTCGGGCAGCGAATTCAGCAAATTTTTGCAAACTACAAATGACATATCCGATGCATTCCTCGTCTTCATTAGATTGAGCCGACGAAGGAAAACAGCTAAGCGGTTCAAGTAAAAACGAAATTGCGCAAGCATTGAAGCCATGCTCTAAAACAGAGTTGCCAGGGTTGCTACATTCCGTTCTTTCTGTATACATAAGAAGGCACTTTTATTATTATTATTATTATTATTATTATTATTATTATTATTATTATTATTATTTGGCAGGCATGAATCACTTGATAGGTACATGCGAGTAGCCGCCAGCTAAACTTTAGTATTATTTAATTATTACTTTTATATTATTCTTTTTGCAGCACAAAACATGCTTGTTCCGAGCGTAAGGGGGCTATTTGCTATTTACAGTCCGGAATGCATCACGGAGGAGCTCGACTGACGACACTCGAAAATATTCGTTCGACAGCGCCGACGAAAATGCATGTAATATTTTATTTGCAGTGCGCTGACGAGCTGCCCCAGCTGCACTGCAGGCACTGGGGACCATAGGTCGGCGAACTCACTCATGAATCGACTAACTCGCACTCACTCAGACTCAGACCGAGCCGTGAGTCTGAGTCTTGGTGAGTCCGGGTGAGTAATATTTTCGCGAGTATGAGTACGAGTGAGTCCGGTTCAAAAATAAAAAAAATAAAAAAATTCGTGAGTGTTAGTCCAAGTGAGTTCGGGCCAGGAAAAATGTCGGTGAGTCTGAGTCCGAGTGAGCCCAAAGTGCAAAAATTTATTTCTTGAGCGAATCTGAGTGACTACCCACTTTATTTTGCTGGCATAAGGCCCTATCTGGTCATTTTCAGCATTACTGTCAGCCTTAAATGGATTCGTGTTTATATACTCAAGCCCGCTCACATGTATTCCAAACGGTTTCGTTTATACACCGTTTCAATATTTATCAATTAGAGGCGTGAATTACGTAAGGAGGGTGGCTTTGAACTTCCTCCACCAAGTCTTCCAGAAAAAATTTTTATCAATATATCTTTTACTGTCATTCCTTCCATGAAACATTACCTTGGAAGCACTCAGAACTCGTTTTCGAAGATACTATGTCAAACAACACCAAAAAGAGCATTGATTACGTGAGATATAGGTGATAAAGAGCATTGACATTAAGGTCGAAGGTGCCGATTCTAGGCTGGCGGACTCATGAGTCGACTCACTAAAACTCACTCAGACTCAAATCAAGCTGTGAGTCTGAGTCTGAGTGAGTCCAGCTGCAGAAAACTTTTGTGAGTGTGAGTCTCGGCTCAAAAAAAAAAAAAATCTCAGTCTGAGTCTAAGTGAGTCCAAAGCTGAATATATATATCACGAGCGAGTCTGAGTGAGCTCCACAAGTTATGCTGACCCATGCTGGTGACAGCATGTCGGATTACAGCCGCAGGAGCATGACGTAAAGGCTGTCGAAGTTTCGCAAGAGATATTCCATGCCGAGCAAGTGTCCACTGTTCGACGACGGGCAAGCGGTCGCGAAACCACGTTCCGCTCAAAAAAAAAAAAAAATGAATAGCGTAGTTGTGCCAGTTGTACTACAGCTTCAAGGACGGCAGTCGGTGCGAAACATCCATCCCTTTAGGGCGCCCATGCAACGCCCTCGGCGAATCTTGACTGGCGTCAGTGCAGGGAAGACCACGATAAGGCGACGAAAGGATTCACACATGTAAGGAGACTTACAATAGAACGAAGGAGAGAGTTTTTTTTTTTTTTTAGAGTCGGTATCGCACCGTCTATCGCCGTACCACACGAGAGCCGCTCTGCGGGGCGACCAGCGCGACGGCTGGCGGCGTTGGGAGTGGTTGGTTGCAAGCAGCAGCGCATCACCGACGACGGCGGCACAGGGACAGTCGGAAAGCAATTCCTCTAATTGGCCAGTCACAGTGAACCAGTGCTCGTGCGCCGGCCGGCAATATCAGCAAAAACCTGCGTTCTCTCTAGCATGTCGAAAAACAGACGCGGAGAGCGCGCATCGGAGAGAGCGCCGATCAAGCCTGACCTAAAACGTTTTCGTCCTGGAAGCGAGCTTTGCTGCGCTACCGCTGCACGACCCTTGAGCTAGGCGAAAGTGCTCGGGCGTTTTCTCGGCACTTTCGCTTCGAAACGAGCGCACCGAACAGGCGTACCTCGCTTGGATGAGAATCGAACTTGGTTTTTGCATGCGGGACCACGACGCGGTTCGCTTATTTCACCCCACGCGCGCGATCGTGTCGCCTACCTGCAGCGAGTGCTTAAGAGCTTGGCTCTAGGCCCAACGGAGGCTGCTTCGTTTAGGAGTTTAGGGGTGATCGCGTGTCAATTGTACTGCATACTGTAAATATATATACTTGCCACACACACACTAGTTTGGAAAGCGCGGTTTCATTTGTCCTTAACACAGTAAGAACACCGCATCCCACTTACGTTTACCCCGCACGGCCTCGATTGTGGGGGGAGGACAGCAACTACGAAATGCACGAAACGTGACCACTCTCGCGCCGGAGAAGTTTCGCGGCCGAATACGAGGCTCGAAAAGCGAGTGGAGTGGTCGGGCTGTTAGTTGGCTAGGCTTAGCGCACTCATTTCACCGTTCGAGAGCGGATATGTTCGGCATCACGGGAGAGTTTTCTCCCCAACTCTCGAGCTGATCCATCGCACGGGCCGTTATCTGTCGTCCAATGCGGCCTCGTCCCCGCTGCTCCAAAGCCTGCTTCCGGACACCATCCCAGGGTCGGCGGCTGACCGCACATGGACTCTGCGGTCACTGGAGTGCGCATAACAAACGCCGGAGAGAGGAAAAACGTGCGTCCCGCCCGACGAGTCGGCCGGCCTCCCATCCGGCATCGCCGCTCTGTGACAGCGAAGGTAGCAGGCGAGCCGGCCTTTTTCGCACGGACTGGTTGTTCCGGCTCCGCGGGTTCCCCGCCCGTTTCCGGATGAATCCCATCGGACAATATAAAAGGGTTCGGAGACGTACTCACCGTCCACTTAGCTGCTCTGGGACACTTCCATTTCGATCCTCTTTACCCGCGCCGATATTGCACTCGGAGAGATGAATTAAAAAAAAAAAAAGAAACTGGGCAAAGCAGATACACACAGAGGCGAACTTGCAGGTTGCCGTTGCCGCCGTCTACGGGCGGTAGTGGGCTGGACGTAATGACCACGTGACCACCGCAGACCAATGTGCATACGCATTGTAAGATAGAAAACTCGCGCCATCTCCCAGTCACACGCCAAAGCCCTGAGCGTTGCTATCTTGCTTTTTAGCCACAAGATGGCGCTGCAAAAGCAAACGTTTTGTTTTTTCGCGGGCAATTTGAGCTACTCTGTAGAAAATCCGCACGACATCGCATCAAAAGTCAAGCATCGAGACCGCAGAATGATCGGCAACTCGAAGATAAAAGAGGCACACAAAAGGTCAACTTTAGCATTTATCTATCTGTCATGCCTATTTTTTTTTATGTTCTATAGAGTAAACAAGGCTGATCTCTCCTTTATTATGCATTGACAGGCCTGCTAGCATGCTCCTTTGCGAGCATCCCCTCATCAACTGTGTCGCAAATAGATAGACTCACCAAAATGTTCAAAAGTGCTGCTCCTAACCCGATAGAAAAATGGTCAGAAATCTTGCAAGGCTACTAGTTATTTATTTATTTATTTATTTATTTATTATGTATATTTGTTTATTTATTTATTGCAAATTGCGCTTTATGTTTGTTTATATGTTTTCATTCGGAAGGTGTACAATTTCTCGGCAGATACCCGCCTTTACGTAGCAGTGGTGTCACTATGCTAGACGCCTTGATTTCACCAACACTCATGTTTCTTTACCATGCAGTCCAGGTAGTGTCATGGCATTCGTGAAATTGAACATGTAACTATGTCACAAAAGCCCCATAATATTATGAAGATTTTCATGGGAATACTGTAGTTTTCCTATTGAGGAACGTACATGCGTGTCCGTCGTATTTCTCGTCTAGGAACGGGGACTGAAGCCCACCGTGCTCAAATTCGCGAGCATTGCTAGTTGTTTTTGTGTGCATACACGTCGATAAAGCTTGTATTATGCATACATATGCGAATTTTGCTTGGTATTGTATGTACGTACACTAGTTTTGCTTATGTGTGTTTTTGTATGGCAGGTGGTATATGCACACGAGAATGCCAGTTTTGTTTTAACGCGAGGGCGATAAAGAGCTCGTTTCGCAAAAATGCCAGGGTTGGTGTTCACGTCGTTGGTTGTCAGCGAAAAATTATCGTTGTCTGTGACCGGAAAACTGAGACGTATGCGAGTAAAATAAAAATAATGACAATCATTGGTCCGAGTGACAATCTGGCCCAGTCCTTCTACACGGTTTACTTACGGGCCCTTATACGGGCCAGTTGTTTAGCGCCACCTCGTGCCTCTACAACACACAAACATTCACACATCCACCCGAGTAACACACACAACACTCGGCGCTTACTACCAACTGTTTATTGCTCCTAAATTTAGGAGCAATAAAGTGTCTTGTGTGTTACTCGGGTGTTTGTGTGAGTGTTTGCGAGTGGTTGCGCTAAAATATCTTACAATATGACGTATATAATGAACTAGCCCAACAACAAGTTTTGGCCAGTTTCATATTAAACTAGCCGGTACAGATGTGATAACAATATGATAACAATCAATATGATAACAGTCAATCTAGAAAATCATTTTCTGACGCGCAGAATCGAACGGGTCACTTTTCGCTCCGCAGCGCGCGGCGCCATCCGTTTGGCCCCAGCAGCACACGTCGTGCAGTACACTAACGGCGAGCTATTTATAGATACACCATTTACCGCTGGCTATACGCCAATCTCGGAGGAATATCAGCGTGTTGTCTGCTTAACCAGCGAGATGGCGCGACGTGCGCGCACGGCGCCCCACTCGTCACGGTGCGTTGGTACAGTCGGTGTATACTATAGCGTTGGCTCGTAAACTGCATTTTGCCTATCGGGGCGAGGTCGCCCTTGCCGGTGCACACGCTAACCTTCTGGCGGGGGCAGTTTGTGTCATGTGCTTTCACCAGAAAGATTGCGTGCCGAGTGCCGAGTACGCAAAGGTCACTTAATTCACTGCGGATGGGGGCCCCGTCAGTGAACAAAGCACGCTGTTCAAGCACAGAGTATGGTATAACAACTGTGGCACTTGTTAGCTCGCTCTCGTCCTTTGTATATCTGTGCGTATAATGTTTCGTACGTGTGTCCTTTGTGGTTGATATGCGCGGTGTCTAGCTGTGAACTTTGCTAGTACGCGCCGATCTTGTGTGTATTCCTTTCGTGCGTCCTTTTTGCTTGGGCAACGTGCTCCAAGTTTCGATGCCCTTGCCGTTCATCACATGGCATCCCAATACGTTGTCGCACTCGTCACTTCGCCCTTGCGGTGAAACTGTGACTTTTTTTCCCTGTTTCGTAACGTTAACGGTTACCTTTTAAAATAACGTTTGACTGTTCCGATTTAAATTTCCTCTTTTTTTTTTTCCCCGGATATTCGCTTTGTTCACGACGGCGATTGTCGGAAGCCAGAAAGCGCACGCCAGTCTTTATGCCACTTCTCAAGAAAAGCGGCATGAATGGTTCGGCTAGTCATTCTTCGTAATAATAATAATAATAATAATAATAATAATAATAATAATAATAATAATAATAATAATAATAATAATAATAATAATAATAATAATAATAATAATAATAATAATAATAATACTATTATTATTATTATTATTATTATTATTATTATTATTATTATTATTATTATTATTATTATTATTATTATTATTTAATGTCCCAAAACCACGATATGATTATGAGAGACGCCTTAGAAGGAGGGCTCCGGAAGTTTCGTCCATCTGATATTCTTTAACGTGCCCCGACATCAAACATAACATTTTTATGCTTAATTACGGCAGAGCTTCGGGCATTTGTGAGCTCTCGGCGTGCATGTCGGTATTTTATTTAGGTGTTAATTAACAAATCTCTTAGCCAACGAGACGTTTCATTCGCTCAACTTAATCCTTATTAAGATATACACGCTGCGTATCCACCCGAATAGGTCAACAGCTACACTATGGCACCTGGCGCGATAATAAATTACATGTCATACACGGGAGATCAACCAAGAGATAAATATCCAATTTGCGACCTACTGTGGAACGCAGGGCGATAGGTAATAAAGAAGGGAACAAGAGAGATACGGGTAACGCACTCTCACAAATAAAAAAAAAATAAGCGACTGTCATAGTCACCTTGCCGAATAAACAGCACGCTCCATAGGTATGGGTACATGTATTATACGGTAGAAGGTCGCATCTGGATATCCCAATCTCGACGTTAAATAAACCCGATGGAAAGAATTTGCAAAATGACAGTTGAATTTTCGTATCACCTTGAAATGCTGCGTGCAGTCGCAGCGTACGCATTTGGAATTGCGGCTTTATCTTTAGCCGACACACTATATTAGCTTTGAAATATTTACAACTATCCACAGTTCTTCGGTGGCTCAATGTTGCCCGTCTGCAGAAAAATGAAAATTACTTTTTTGCTTGCTCTTTTCGTGCTCAGCGATAGCTGGTAACTTTGATTGACAGGTCTCTTTTGCGCGACGATCACAGTCCTCGAGAGCAAGAGTCCGTGGGAAACAGCCTGTTTGAATGGTTTGCTGTCAAAATGACAACATCGTTCCACAAGAGCCTCTTTCAGCCGTGTCGCAAACGTATTTCAGAGATCTTTATGTGCCGTACGCTCACTCTCTTGGCTGTGTTTATGTCTACGGCAAGTATCGCAGGAATTAAAGTTCATATAGCAGTCCCCTTGTAATGCTGTATGTCTCTTATTAACCTATACGATCTGATAAACACTATAGTGGTACACTGTGGGTCCGGTCATCTATCTCATTGGTAGGGAAGATAATGAACAGATTCCCACACATCAGAATGAATGAATGAATGAATGAATGAATGAATGAATGAATGAATGAATGAACTTCACTGAAAGTTAGTCCAGCAGTTTCCTTCAAGTAGGGTGGGTGAAGGAGATGTGCCGTCCTAAGTTAAGTCGATGAAGCAATTTTTTTTTCTTCTTGAGTTTTATGAGTGCTCGGCTCTTTCTAAAGCATGGTGATTCACCTCCTGACACTCACGAACGCAGACCTGCTACACGGTGACAAGCTCGACATTTTATCCCTGCCGATTGCCACGCGCAGCTCCCACATTATGCTTTCTTCATTTCAGCGTTATTGCTTGCAAAAAATATTTTTGAAAGGAAGCTCCAGCAGGGGCGCTATATTGAATGTTTGCCGAAATCCGCCATGTTGTATTTGTCGTCTTGCGAGCTCTGATTCAGTGAAAGGTGAGGCTGTGGCCATGCAAATTGCCTTAAGACGATGTCATTACAAATTTTTACAAAAAGAGGGTTCTGGAATAGCAAATAATAACATTCCAAGTTTTTATAGATTGAAAGCTTGTATAACACTCCCGAGTTTGTATTGATAAGCTGAACTGAGAGTCTCTCTCAAGCTCAATGACAGTTCCATAAAGGTCAAATGAGGTCAGGGTCGTTTGAAGACCTTGTAAAAGCTCACAGGCTTCTTTACCAATTCGCCACAGACTCGAAGCCGAAATACATATTTGCCGAAGGCTTTCTGCTTTAAACATTGCTTTGCACTGTCAGCAGCAACTTACCACAATCAAGTCCTGGCTGGCCACGACCGGGCCAGGAGGCCGGGCCTCCCTGTTTCACTGTGCGAGTAAAGTAGTCAGGTGGCGCATTCCCGTCGCGTACAGGACGTTTTGAAGGGGGCATTTCGAGCTTTCGGCACCTTATATCTGTTTTCCAGCGTTTCTTAATAGGCCCCCTTTTGACCAAGTCATGAGGACGTCATCATGCGGCGTCACAAATGTTCATTACCTGTGACGTCATCGCGTGGTGGTGACCTTTCATCGATCGTGTTGATGCCGACGGTCAATTTCTGTGCTTGGTGGAGCACTTGAGGCTTTCGCCTAAAAAGCGTTTCTTCGCCGTTTATGAAAGCCTAAGTTGGCTTAATCAAAGATGTATGTCCTTCTTCGAGTGCACGTATGAGCACGCATGGCGAAGCGTTAGTGGTGTCCTTGTTCGCATGTTGTGGTGTTCGGCAAGGGAGATGATCTCTTCATTGAAGCTGTTCTGGGCATTTGATGCAGAAGTAGTTCATGTTACATGCACGTGCGTGAGTGTATATACTCTTTATTCAATATTAGACACGTATTTACATGGTATGTACAATGGTCTAAGCGAGTAAAAAAATAATGATTCAGTTCACACATGTGCGAACTAAACATACACTGCGTTTTGAGCGTCGCAAATGTTCTCATTAAATGGAGGATGTATGCACACACATAGCTGTTGTAGGAAATCCATAAATATGTATTATATACACTTTCGCGCGCTGCCTCTGATGGTAGCTTCGTAGATTCTGACTGTGGCACACGAGAAAAAGCGAATAAACTAAATAGTCCCAGTAAGTTAGCATCAGACTGTCTGGGCACTTAAAATAGTCTTGTCAAAGTCGGGTGGAAAGTGCCCGAGTATGAGAACTTCAAAAAATGCAGTTCTCGACGCGGTCCCCTACTTGTTTCTTACATTTCTAAGACAATGAAATCGAAACCAGGAATACTGAAAGACGAAAAGAACTACGATGTTTGCCAACAGCAGCATATGATATGTTTAAAAACTACGCGCGCTTACTTTCAATTTTTTTCCCCTCAAACTGGAGTGTGCTATGTAGAAGTGCTTCAAAGACGTACTAGTGCTAAAGTTTATCACAGCGTCACGAGTATAGCACCAGCAGGGCTGCGAAAACGTCTGCTAGTGGTCACTTCAACATACGTGTCGCACTAAAACTCTGTCGACTTAGTCGCCTAAAATTGATACGTGCGCTTTGTTAGGAAGTATGGAAGGTGCGAAAGTTAAATCAACTGGTGGTATACGGTAACACGGCGCTGGGGGCGGTAAGTTGAGACACCCAATCAAGCGGCTACAATCATAGGCGTGCGTAGGAGGGAAACCGGGGTTGGGGGCGCTGCGGCTGTTCTCTACCTTTACTCAGTCGGACCCAACGTTTCTAGAACTAGTTCTAGAAACTAGTTCTAGAAACGTTGGTCGGACCTGCCCGGACATTATTTATTCTGTGCTTCAGTGGCGTAAATTATGGGGGTTGGGGGTCAGGGGTGATCCTGGATCCTGACCTGATCATTCACTCGGGCAGCCAGTCTCCTGGGCATTCGTTTTTCTCGAGTAGTTCTCGAGCAAGCGGCGCCGAAGCTCCGCTCACCTGCTCGACGCTTGCCCAAGGGTTTTGCCCCTGGTGACAGTAGTGTGACGCATGATTGACGTCATTTCTTGTCCCGAAAAGTGAAAGATGAATGAGCTTCACTGGCGGCCGAGGAGCGCTAGTGTTGCATCCCGAGAGCTGTTTATTTCCCCCTCAAAAGCAGGGAATAACACGTCATCGCTTAATCTTCCTTCTTGCATCCAATGCGAAGCCTGTTTTCTTTAGATTTCGACCAACCAGGACACGGGGCGGGGGGGGGGGGGGGGGGGGGCTGAGACCTTACGCTCCTTCTCTGACGGGGCATCCTACGCACGCCCATGACTACATTATTTTGACGCAACACGGGCCGTAAAGAGACCATGACACGCAATGTTCGATTATTATCTGTGCTATGGCAGTTGATCGCGTGCGTTTGTAATGTTTTGGTGCACTTGGTCAAGCACTCTAGCTTTCTTTTTCAGCTTGGCACCGAGATCGAACCATTTTCAGTGGCTGAAGTCATACGCGGTAAAAGAAGATGACTGCTCTGTGCAGCACATGACGTCACGCAAGCCATGGCGAAATGGCGGCCGCTGGCGATGGGCGGGGCAATTTTCTTCTATCGCTTGTTTTGCACTGAAATACCATTTTACTGTGCAATTCTGCTATATATATAGGCATAACAGATTCCATACTTCTATTTTTTGCTGAAAGCCGCAAATTGTCGGGTGACCGTGTCATGGCCCCTTTGCGAAATTTCCTTTTCATAACTACAGTTGCAGCGCTAAAACAACACGCGGGTCTGACGACGGAACAGCGCGACCACCGGAATCACAACGGCGGTTACCTTGATTGTCACACAATCGAGAAGCGCCCTTATTCTTGCTGCTTGTTCTCCGAACGCTTAAAGGCTGTTCTCCATAAAGTAGCGCGTGTGTAAAATAGTGAATCTGATCTGTCTCACGCCAAGCAACAAGGAATAAAAACGGGTCATTGGAGAAGTATGTCGAGGCCGTGACTCAGAAGGCATCCACGAGCTCTTGTAAGTAGCCGCTGAAAGTGTAGACCATGTCGACGGGATCCAGGGAGATCATCTTGAGCACTCTCCAGGCGCCCAACATGATAAGCAGGTTGCTAACTTTGCTCACGACGTACAGCCTGCGGAAGGGAAAAGACGCAACGGAGGCACAATCTGAGAAACGTTAAAATGCAGTCAATCCCACAATCGTCAGCTAGGACACGTGCGAGGTTCCATGCGGGATCTAAGCTCCTCTAGTCTGAATGCTTTGCAGTAGCTGTCACTTGCGTAAATCTTGCGGGGAAGGGTATAGAAGGGGTTCTGAGACTTCTTGTGTTAAGGCTGGGGGGACACTTCTTGCAAGTGTCTGCCTTAAAATTTCTCGCCCAAACGAAATATAATAGCCTAGCTGAGAGTTAAGTATAGCACTATCGACATTTTTGTTAATGCCTGCTCATATAGTGGTGAATAGGTTTGTGTTATATTCCCCGCAGCTGTGCGAAACTATTGAAATCGCAAGTCCGCTCGACCGCTTTTGAAGAAGACTAAATAAATGCAATTACACGGGCTAGAACCCCATCTCATTTTTATTTCAGAGCATTAGTTTACTTTTTCTATAAGCAAATAAACAAACTGCATGGTTTCCATAGCAAGATGTGGGTCCCTCCCTTGTGATTGTTTTTTTTTTGTATTTACGCTGCTTTTCGGCGGTTTGAGTATCACGACTGAATTTATTTTGGTTATATAGCAGCACGAAAAAAAAATTGAGGGTCATTATATTTAGTCTACGCCGTGTTTTAACTCTGCGTGAACGTGTTACTTCTGGTTTTTCCTGCTTCAGTGTGGCTGGAGTGGCACATAACTTTTCTTCTAGTTGAATGGAAAAATGTTGAATAAAATAAAAGTAGAATAAAATAGATAAAAGTTGAATGGAAAAATGTTGGTGCAGCCGCGACAGGCCCGTAACCAGAAATTCTTTTCGATGGGGGGGGGGGGGGGGGGGCTTTGAAGCCTCACTCCTATAGGCTTTGAAAAACGCCTATTTTTCATTACAGTCCTCCATAAAACGCACGCCTCCATCCAAATTTCGGTGGAAGGCGGGAAGGGGGGGGGGGGGGGCTTATCCGTGGCTATAGGCCTGATCCGCGAGCTGCTCTTGTAGGTGAATCAGCCTGACAAAAAAAAAAAAAAGTGTACCTTGCCAGCTGTCGCTTTCCTTCCTTTATTGTGGAGATGTCCTCCTTGAGCACGTATTCCCGGATTCCAAAACAGTAGGACAGAAGATAAGGCTTCCATTCGATCGTTTTCACATCAAAGTTGAAAACCTGCAACGGCAGATCGTTTTTGAGAGCACCGTAAGCAGTTGAAACATAAATGTGGCTTGGTCTAAACGCCAATTCGGCGATGAAATATTTTGCGACAGGACGTGGCAAATAACGAAGGATGGAACTCCTCCCGAAAGAGCTTATCGTTCAATAGGAATAGTTCTTTGAGCATGAGATGCGGAGCTCAACGGTGACACATCGATGAAAAACGGTGTCTTGCTTTTAGAAGTGTTGCTACTTATAGGGTGCAGGATAGCCCAGCGCACACCGTGGTCCCGCGTCGGCGTAGTAACCATCGCTAATACTGAGAGCGCTCACTAGATGGCAATGTGGCGCTCGCACCACTAGTACTTGAACTGCTCACTAGATGGTGCTGCAGCACTCGCACCTCTCCGATGTTTCGCTCTTGCGTTAAAGGGACATTGAAGGCAGCTAATAAGTCGACGTTGATTGTTGAAGTTGCGGTTCAGAAACATCGTAGTGTTACTTTTCGGCCAAGGAAGGGCCTATTTGAAATAAAATGACATTTTAGTGGTCCGCATCAGGTTAGCGCACTTCATATTACCCGCTCTCAAACAGCACGTCTCACGTCACTGTTGCCGTGCACAACGTTGCCCGGCTTTACTGTGCGGCCCCTGACACTAGTAGCAGCAGAACGAAAGCACTGGGAGCCACAGCAGCAACAATGGTCATTCAACTATTTTCTGCCGTTGGCTCCGAGATTGCAGACGTGCTTGGTTCAACTGAGCCCGCTAGATAGCACGACCTTTCCAGTTTGACTAGGCGAAAATTGAACTTCTGAAGCACTCGTGCCACTCCCCATAGTAACGTCAGGCGGTTTTTTTTTTCCATAAATTAAACAGAAACGAACAAGCAGCATGTTATTACGTCTTTTGATGCACGGAATGTTTTTTTATTTGGTGCAGCTAGTTCGACTAGTAGTTATCAATTGTAGGTGGTAATTGGGTGATTAATCTCATGTCATCGAGGTTACTTTGCGAATGTCCTACTGTGGCTCATGTGTTCTCGTGCATTTACCTTAGTTTATCGGTAAGTAGGGCCCTGCTGTTGATAATGTTGTCATTTTAGACGTTGTAATACATTGAGCCTTCACTCTCACGTAAATTTTTACTTGACTTTAGTGCCCACTTGAAATGCATTCGGTCTGGACATGCTTCCTCTTTCACTGGCAGTCTGTGTGTTTCGAGTAAGAACGACGAAGACAAGGCGGTGTACCGGAGGGTTTGGAAAACGGCTGCAGCAGGTGCTCGCCGTCTTTACAAGATGATAGACTGGGCCAGATTTACGGAGGACTGACAGTTTACTGATGTACCTCCGGAGCCCCGCCCACTCATCATCATTCACTCCGTGGATATGCTGTGAATTTTTTCATCCCTCCTGCTTTTTTCTATTGTGTACTTCTGCCACAATCGAGTGGCAAGTGACCAGGTCTCCTAGTCTGCCCTCCTGACGGGGAAAGGCTTGATAGATATGTGGGATATAACGTCCCAAACAACCATATGATTATGAGAGACGCCGTAGTGGAGGGCTCCGGAAAGTCAGACTACTTGGAGACGTGCACCCAAATCTGAGTACACGGGCCTACAGCATTTTTGCCTCTGACGGGGAAAGGATGTCGCCACCTCACTAATACATAAGTACGTAATACATGTGAAGCACGAGCCAAATCATGTCCAAAGTTATGTAGATTCATGCCACAAACGGGTGGTTCGTTTCGTAGCAACTGCTATACAGTCAAAGTTTCTTATAATCAAACTTCGACACGAATATAAGAAATTGATTAACACGAACTGAGTGAATAACGGTCATACCATGGGCACAGTGTTACGGATATGGGTTAATGACTAATTTCCGGATATAACGACACCACTTTCGTGTCAGATGCGCCTTCTTAATATTAAGGTTTGAGTGAACCAATGGGGGCGAAATGCATAAAAAAGGCGAAGTTTTGCGAGTAATATTCACGTCCTTAGATTAAATAACATATTGACTCTCTACGAAAATGAGAACGATACCGATAAGCATTGTACTTACGTCCTTGTCTGTTGCGTTGAGTTCACTGTAGAGGGACCTGACGTTATCGTTGTAGAAGTACCACTCTTTGGTGCTGAAGAACTCCAGCATGTCGAGGTGATTCTCAACCTTCTCGTATAGCCTCGATAACCTGCATGAAACAGTGCAATGACGTGAGCATTACGCATTAATATATGCGAGGTATGGAAGAGCGCCGCTTGCCACTACGCACCCGATCAAGCTCACGCGAATATGTTTTTTTACAGAAGGTTTTAGTTTCGAAGACTACGATCTGATTACGGTTGGCTATATTGTGCCAACCAAAGGAACTCCACTGCCCAAGCAAGAAAACTAACGGACACTTACATGGGCTTCTTGCCGACGACCCACAGGGCCACGTCTCCGGCCTGGGCGAGGAGGTAGTGCTGGAAGAACATGCGGATCCTATGCAGCGTCTTGCTGTTAGTGTGGCGAGGCTGCGGGTAGCGGAAGGTCACTTTGGATGGGATTTTGTAAGGCATCTTCTGCACGCACTCCAAGAAGTAATGCCACGTCAGCGGATTGTCGGCACCGGAGCTCATGTTGTACACTGTCATCTTTTGGCTCCTGCAACGCAGGGATGGCACACATGTTATATGCACTGCCGAGTTCATTTCCTCGTAACAAGGGCGAACTAGGCTGCGACATAGAACTTAATTTGCTAGACGAGGGTTCCTACCGTCCAGAGCCTCTGCGCCATGCAGCTGCGATGACGCAGTTGGCGACCATGTCCACAGGAATAAAGTCGGTGACTTTGTTGATGTCCCCGTACACAGATGTTAGCACACCCTTGGCCATCTGCACAAAACAACAGGCAGTGTTAGCTTCACGTTGCCACTGCCAGAATGGTGATCAAGCAGGCGATGACTGCGTAGTCATCGTGTACCTACAGCGATCAGGAGCCCCGTGGGACCATTGTAGTTGTCTATCCATCCCTGCAGGAAAAGAGAGAACACGTAGAGTAGAAAAATGTTTAGATTTTCGAAAGTGAAATAGTTAAGCTAAGTCTTTGGATTGAGAACGAATGCAGACAGTGAATGAAGACTGCCAACATGAGCAATCATTTAGCCAACATTATACCACCTTAACGAGAGCTGGTAGCATGGAAGAAAACAGTTGTAGCAATCTCTGGCACACCATGTTACGGACGTCGGGATCAGCTAATGCTTTTCGCAGAAATCGTGCGCATGCGGTTGAAAGAGGCTAAGGAAGGGCATCATCTTCGTTAATAACCACTATACACATCCAGGCAGGAAACATTTCATCATGAGTGAAGTGCCCACCGACTACCATTTTGAACGTAATTGCTTTTCAAACAGTATGGCAACATTTGGTATCCTGACGCAAAGATGCCCACGGCTCGAAACACTCACCGCGAATGGTTCTTTGGCCGTGCCTGTGATGATGGAGGGCCTGACGATGACGGCCGGCAGCGCACCAGCGTGCTCTTGAACGAGCATCTCGGCCACCGCTTTGGTGAATGTGTACGAGTTTGGGCGACCCTCGTACAGCTTAGGCTCTAGCGCTTCCAGCATGGAGTCGTCCATCCACCTGCGGAAAATAAAAGACACCTATCGCAATGTCGCCTTTTGCTTGCAACAGTGACAATTTCTGTGTTCACCGAATAATTCTTTTCGGCCTTGAGATATAGGGGCATTGCACGTGGCGACAACTACTATTGCTGAACAAAAGCTGCTCAGAAGTGAAATGGGCGGTCCGGGTCTAGCAAGGGGGCTTGATAATAAGACGCATTCAGAATCGTCCTGAGGATATCAACCTCCCTTCGGAAGTGCCGAGAGTCAGAAAGTTACTTGTTTTTGCGGGTAGGTTCGCCTGTAGTCCCGAAGAGACCCCTCCCAAATGACCGAAGCACAGCAGCCGAACGCCCCCGCAGCTAGAAACTCGGAGTGGCGTCACGCTGCGACTTGTATCGATACATATGTTTATAACCTTATGATAAATTACAAATTGTCCGTAGAATGGCTGCATTCGTTATAGAGTGATCAGGGGGGAATAACGCTACCGGCTCTGGGTTTGTGAGCAATTGCGAAAATAGTTATTTTTCATATTGTGTAACATGTTTTATTACTGTCTTAGAATCCTGAATACTGTCTTAGAATCCTGAGTACTCGCTGAATACTGCAGGAAACGCCTTATACGTGTTCACGTCCTCGTGACTTCCATGCATGTCATGCGAGTACTATTGTAGCATGAGGTGCCTGAATCGCCCGAATCTCGCAGAGAAAGCTCCAGCAACGCGGCGATAGCAAACGAGAGAGAAAGAAAGTAAGAGGCAGGAAACGTTAGCTGCAGTTTACAAACGGGTTTCTGTCTCGGGGATCATGCGGCGCTTTGTGTCTGGGAAATAAGCTGGATCTGTCAAAGTCGAGCTTGAAGCCATCGATACGCGCGCTTATTTATTGTGGCTTCCGGACCTTACCTAAAAGCTCAGTAGATGCATCTGGCAACATATCGGGCAACTTCTCGTACCAACACGAGTATGTATTTTTACTAGCTGTTTATATAATTGTGTACATCGCTATCGGAACCTGACAAGTGTTACGGCTGGAAAATGTCCCTTAGATCACAAATGAATTGCATGTGGTTGGTCGTCCGGGCGGAATATCGATAGAATTTAACGCTCCAAGTCAATTCGGAGCATACCAATGACGCCGCAATGGAATACAGGGCTCGTGGAGGGCATCGTACAAGAGCTTTGCTTTTTTTTTTTTCTGTCTGTTTCCGTATACACATGCAGCGATCTCCACGGTTTGACATCAAACGTCCGACCACATGGCGCACTATAGGACGTTATGGCGAGTGAAACACCGTAGTGGGTTCCAGAATATGAGTCAAGTGGCTGCCATTCGTGGAACGTAACCTACATTCAGTCTCTCAGCAGTTGGCAGGCGCATCTGACTGGAGTTCACGGTTCTGAAATATTGTACCCTCGAATCGGCCGCCCGGGGTCCCGTGAGGGAGCGCACCGAATTTGTGGCGGGGGATTATCGTTTATTAAGATCAAGAGTCAAATTGGGGACACGGCCGCTTTGTGTCGGCCTCACTCGTGTAGGCGCAAGGTAAGGAAGGACGACGCGGAAGGTCGTGCTCCAAGACCTCGAAAATACGGAGTGGCCCTGCCCGGCTCTTTCCACTAATCTTGGGCAAGGCTTTTTTATACATCCACGCTCGCGTTGAACTAGTGGGCCCCGTTCGGGCTCCGCGTGTCCGTCTCGATATATACAAGTCGAAATTAGGCGAAGCGTTGTCATACTGGCAGAAAGGACAGTATCAGTGGTATTGCGAGAGTGGAATGCTGAGATCCCACGACTTAATGCCGAAGCAGGAGACTCAAGCCTCATAGGCACTTTCGGTTCGTCGACTACGCGCGTCTAAAATTGTCTCTGCCAGTGCTTTACGACAGTGATCTGAATATATATAGGGTGTTCTGTGCTCCCGCCTTCCATTACCCATTCGGTTATCACAGGACGTAAAGCACAGTCTATCTATCTATCTATCTATCTATCTATCTATCTATCTATCTATCTATCTATCTATCTATCTATCTATCTATCATCTATCTATCTATCTATCTATCTATCTATCTATCTATCTATCTATCTATCTATCTATCTATCTATCTATCTATCTATCTATCTATCTGTCTATCTATCTATCTATCTATCTATCTATCTATCTATCTATCTATCTTAACACTGCGACATTATAGAGGTGTCACTGCCGACGCCACGGGTAAAATATCTGTCACTGTTAACGCCACGCTAACAAGGCACACTGCTTGCAAAACTCGATAGGAAGGCCTCGGTCGCTTACTCTGAGATGTTCAGCAGGTTCGACGGGCTGATTAGTGCGGGCGAGACGGTTTCCTTGAGCTCCCTTTGGTGGCAGTGGCAGTAGGTTGTCGACACGTGGACGTATACCTGAAGGAGACAGACAGCAAATACTGACACATTACAGAATTAGGTTGCACATTATGCGTAAGTTTGAGCCCATTGATGAAAACAGGGCTGACGTGACCACCAGAAACTGCCGAATCATTAAGGTATTACCCATTTTATATCAAAGCATGGCAAGCTTTTCTTACCTTCAGATTTTGGAGCTCGTAGCAAAGGTCGATGACTCGCTTGGTGGCTCTAACGTTCGCGTTCACAGCAATCCTGCAGTATAGTGCACACGAGGACTTTAGTGAGCAACGAATCCACTCAGTATTTAGCGAGTCGTAGCTGTACATTTTAATATAACAAAGAAAAGGGTTGCAGCTTGTCTCGATGTTATGCGCGTCAACCAAGAAACGTACCTGCGAAATTATACAAAGATGTTCGGTCATTTGTTCATGACACCACTTCTAAATAAATAAATAAATAAATAAATCATATAACCAATCAAACAATAATTGATTCACCAGTCAATCATATTGGCACAGGCGCAGTTGTAATACACATATAATAACGTCACATTTTCAGCAGTATATATAGAGGACCGAACTCTATCCCTAGACTGCATTTACGCATTGGCAATTTTTTAATCGGTACTGCATCTCTACTTTGGACCCAAAACAATTGCAGCCGGTTGTGTATATGTGCTATTTCGTCCAGATACATTTAGCGCGGCGAGTAACAGGTTGTAATTTCCTGCTGTTATAGAACTGGCCGCGACATTCAGCCACCTCGTCTGAACGGCACTCTAATAAGTTAAGCGAAATTGTGAACACAAACGCAAAGGACGGGAAACAAAAATGTCAAAGCGCTGTCACTGGCGCCATACAACCTGGGGGCCCCCTTAATCCACCCCCCTTCTAATTAGGAGAGCCGGGGACCAAATGCACAGTGTTGTGAGAGGCTCGTAATTACTCCATCTTGATATTTGCGTCGATTGCGAAGTTTGTTTACTTTCGGGCTCGTCTAATGCTAGAAGATGTTTGGGAGGAGGGCACTGTGGTAAAGTTGTGACCTCCTGCCCCCTAGATCCTCCCCCCTTTTTTTCTAGGCACATTATTACTGGAGAAATGCATGAAACATTAAGAAAGGACTGAGAAATAATAGGAGGAGCACCTTATCTGTCCTTTGATCGAGTTTTAAGCGTTGTTCAAGAAATATTTAGCACACACAGGCATCCAATAACTCATCTACGAACAAGTTCTGCCACCCCCCACCCCTATTAGAGAAGACTCGTCGATATCGATCAAGAGGAGGGCATCGAGGCGTCCAAGGGTTACCACCAGGTTAAGTTCGGTAACTTGCTCGGCGTAAGGCCGCGTTCACACTGAGCATTCCGGCCGCCGAAAGTGCTCCAAATCCGGTTCGGCGGCGGCGAGTTCCGCCGAAAGGGCCCTCTCCGCGCCGATCGCTCTCGGACCAATTTTTGCGGCGTCTGCCGCCGAATCGGTCACCGCGGACCAATAGGAGCGCTAATCAAGGAATTTTGAAAAATGGCGGCCAAGCTCCACTCACTTGTTATGCCGCAGTGCACGTAACTGAATGTTGAAACCAACGGGAGTTTAACCTACTCTGTGCCTACTTCGCCTCCGTATTTCGTGAAAGAGGTGACCGAGCTTGCTGTTGGCGTGACCGAGCTTGTTGCGGTCTTGCAGAGCAAAACGAACCCACCAATGCCGCTGGCGTCGGGGGTTTTTCTGCTCTTCGTGCATTACAAGACAGCCACTTGCCAGCAAAGTAAGCAGTACTGTCTTTTCTTGCTTCTTGCGTACGAGAATCGTCGAAGTATACACCACCGGATAGCGTAGTGGCGCTTGCGAGCCGCGACAACAACCGGGTGACAGCGCATCCATCCCGCGTTCGCCCCGTAGTAGATGGCATATTTGGCGGCGCGGGGCGCGTGCAGTGCGAACGACGCTGCGTTTCGGCGGCAGGGGAATTTCGGTCGCTGTAGAAAGCGGATGTTTCAGTGTGAACTAGGCTTAATACCACTGTATATATCATATATACACTGTATATCACCTTATATGTCATAGTCATCAACCAGCACCTGGAGTAATCTTTCAGGTGAAAAACCAGGCAAATCTCTCCGGCACTCCATTAAAACATATATCACTCTCTCTCAGCACAACGCAAAGCAAAGTTTGGCGAGAGCATGCAGAACGCTGCCTCCCCCCCCCCCCCCCACCGTGGTGGTGGCCCGCCAGCTGTAGGGACGGCTGCAGGGGTCAACCGTGCGTGGTCGACGGGACACCCCGCTGGCGCGAGGTCGCAAAACACGCTCCACGCCAAAGGAAGAGGAGTGACCTTGCCGCATACCCCGCTAGGTGGAAGGTTGAAGGAACTTGCGTATTACGACAGCATCATGCGGTGAAGTTCCAGCCTGAACCAAATAAACCAAAGGACCTCAAAGTGGCCGAGGCGAACAATAGACGGATCGCGGTGCCGTAATAATATAGTCATCTAGAAGTGAAAGCCGTTCATGTTACTAATTATTAAGTCTAGGAATAGGAATATGTTAGAAGTCTGGGGCCGCATGCGTGTTTCTTTTTGTATTGTCGCTTTCCGCTGCCTGTAATTTTTGTTTCTTTTGTAAATTTGTAGTTTAGCTTTTTTTTTTCTGGGCGAAGGGGCCCGTCAAGCTGTGAAATGCACCTTTTTTTCCCTTCGCACCAAACCACGTATACAGTGTATTTTCATGTACTTGTCACGTGGTTAAATAAACTCAAACTCAATTCGTTGGCGGCTGAAATAGAACCTTATAGGATCGGCACAAAAAAAAAAGAGAAAAACCATGTCACGACAGCGGTTAGTTCCGATATTTTTTACACTGAGCAGTTGTTGTTGAGGCCACTTCATTTAGGGGCAGAGAAAACGCAGGGAAAATCCCGTGTGGGCCTACACTCTAAAAAAAGGGGGAGCGAGAATGGAGAAACGGGCTCCGTTCCTCCTTCGGCGCCGCGACTTCCTCCCTTTCGGGCGCTTTACCCGTCGTGCCCTCTCGCGGCAAGGACCAAAGGAGCAACGTTCCTCCTTCAGCGTTCAAGTTTCTCCTCAATCACGGGGGTCTATACTATAGTAGTCTCACGTAGACATCGCGAAGCCGAGCTTGACGGCCCGATCGTGGTAGCAGCAGACCACAAGTTAAGGGCTTGAAGCCCTCGAATCGCGTCGTGAGAACACTCACGACCTAGACGCCGAAAAATGGTCAAAAGTGCGCTTCGAACATGCGGTTGTCTGGATTTTATGCTAGTTGTCACTAAAGCCGCTGTCACCGCTTTTCCACCTCACCGCTTGGCGGGCGAACGACACGCGAGTCTGAAAGAATAATGCGAAGAGAGGCCCCGGCAGCGTTGTGTTTAAATTTACGCGACGTGGTGTCTGCACGCAACCGTTTGCAACCGTTTGATTCCTCGACCAGCATCACTCACTTGCACGCGAGACCTCTCAGGGACGCTGGTGGTTTTGGGACGTTAAACCCCACATATCAATAAATCAATCAATCAATCAATCAATAAATCAATCAATCAATCAATCAATCAATCAATCAATCAATCAATCAATCAATCAACCTCTCAGGGACGAACTCGCGTTGCCCATGAGCGGAGCGAGCTGGGGCGTCAATTGCACACAGTGCACTCGGAAAGTTCGGAATCCCCCCGTGCTCCATTGAGGCACTCGCTCGCTGGATTCCGTGACGATCGGTTGTGCCCTCGCGATCTCCGACGTCAGCGTAGCTCTGGCTGACTGGGCTGGCCCTATACGTCATTTCCTAACGCCGATCTCCGACGACAGCGCAGCTCTGACCTACTGGACTTGCCCTACGCTATCTCCTGACGCCGACGAAGAGCTCTCGCATGTGGTGCCCCGTCCTCGGACTCCTGTGACCGTGTTTCCATCTTTCCTATCCCTTCGATATCTCCTCGCTCGCTGGCCTGGCGCATCTCTCTTTCTCTATACCTTTACTTATATCTTTTTAATCCTTCTTCACCCCCCATCCCTCGTGAGCTACAGTTGAGGTGTCGCACCATGATGCAGACAGTTACGGGGCTCACTTTTCTCTTCTTTTCCCTCTCTTAGAATCACTCAGTAGCTCCATTGAACGAGACCTTGACGGGGGTGACACGCGAGGCGCCCGAAAGACAGGTTCAAAAGACAGGTTTTTTTTTTGTATCAATCGGAAAACAATACACAAAAGCGAAAACTCGCAAAAAAAATAATTACGGTCGCTTTTGCGAGCGGCCGGACTGCGATCTTCTCCGAGGAAGAAAGTCGAGCAGCTACGAAGGGTTGCGCCAAGGTGGTGGATTACGCCACAAGCGACGGCACGTGTCCAACCGCACGCGCTCGAAACGAGCCATCGACTGATCACATCCGCCGTGACGCGTGCCAGGGCATGCGAACGCATCAGTTATACATACCTGGCTCCGGGCCAGGGATAAGCTACTGCCCGGACGCAATAACGACGGCGGCGGGTGATAAGCGCGCTTGAAAGTTCCTCAATTAACTAGTTGCGTATGCTGCACCCCTATAAAGTGCTCGTCTGCCCGGGCAAATTATGTATTTGATTTCGCTTGCTTTGTCTTTTCGTATGAGAGTGGCCGAGAAGGTTCTTTTGTGACGCCTGTGGTATAGAGGAGACTTTGCAGGCCAGCTTGTTCAAATGTCTTTGCTGCGCTGTGCAGAGACGATCACTCGCAATCGCTCGTTTTTACCACATAAAAAATGTCGCGAGCCCATATGCATTGTTGTCGAAGCGTGGACAATCGAGAAAGCTTCAAGTTCTATCGGACCTCTCCCGCCAGGATGCAACTTTACTGTGCCGCCTGTGGTTAGGAGTAGCTTTTACAAAGGCGTACTCCTTTCGCATTGGAATGACGGATAGCTCCCGATGTGGATCGTGCGACACTGACGTGACAATAGAACGTCTAGTGTGTTCATGTGAACGTTTTGCGAGTGAACGCAACTTGCTACGCGAAACGTTAGAGACACTAGACAGTAGACCTTTTTCCGAAGAGAAGATACTTGGCTCGTGGCTCTACGCGTCGCTGGCCAGCGAAGCGACGCGGGCATTGCTAAGTTTTCTAAAGACGACCGGACTAAGCGACCGCTTATAAGCGTGCAATGGACAAGGTCACATCTACACACACGTTGCCCTTCACTTCTCTCTCTCTTCCCCTTTAATCCCCTCACCCCTTCCCCCAGTGCAGGGTAGCAAACCGGACGTGCCTCTGGTTGACCTCCCTGCCTTTCATTTCTTCCCTTCCTCCTCCTCCTCCTCCTCCTCGTGGACAATGCTTATATGCGAACAATCTTTTTGTAAGTAGAAGTTTCCGGTGCACGAATTTTATGCTTTATTGCTGTTCATAGCTTCGTGATTCAAGTTACAACTTAAGTAAAGTAGAGCAGCTGGAGCGAGGACCAAGCTCTCCCTAAACACATTTAATAATAACAAAAAGGAACTATTCTCGAATGTCATCCTGAAATGCCAGCGACAATGAAAGAAAGCGAAACATTGTTAAAGTTTCTCAAGAGTACAGACTTGCAAGGGCGGCTGTAGACTGATAGTCATGCCGTATATGCCACACTTATATTTAGCGGGCTATGACTTCGTGTGTTTGTTTCTCCTCATTTTTCATTTTCATTTACTCTTTTTTCGAACCCCCCCCCCCCCCTACCTGTCCACGGCATAGGGTGGCACACCAGTTAAATCGATTAACATCACGGAATGAGTTCCTGTGTTCACCTATGTAGGTCGTGAAGCAGTGCCGAGGTTTACATTTTCGATTTATGCATTTCCGGGTCGACTGAAACGAAAGAGCGTATGTAACCAGGTAGGAACCAAATATTCACTGTTTCTCCCTTCTACTACAACAAAGACTGATAGATAAGCGAGGCGAAAATAAAGACACCCGTGTCTTCTGACATACAAGAAAAAAGTCAACATAAAAAAAACGAGTCACACTGTCGCCACAAGGGCCAGTCAGTTAGTCTACATCCTTCAAAATTCAACCTGGTGCAGACTAAACGCTATCATTTTACTGGCGTATGTAAACAGGCCCACTGCAGTGAGCGAAGCGACCTTCGTTTCATAGCCTACCCAAAGGGAGGGACATGATGACAGGACGAGCGGCCTTAAGCTCTTCTCTCTAAACATAGTGCACGCACATGATGCAGGAGTGATTTGACAATTATATCGAGTGATTTGAAGCTGCGAGCTTCCATGACTCGTCATTGACTGCAGTCTCTGAAGCGCTTTCACGGAAGGCGAAGGAAAAATGTACGTGAGCCGATACAGGGGATCATGAAGATACTGGAGCCGTACGTATAAGGCTTCCCGAGATTCCTTATATTCCCATAACCTGAAGAAGGCGGCAGACCGATGTGGAGTACTCATTGCCTTATCCAGGTCCGTTAAGCTGCCTCGGTTGTGCTCAAGAACTACTCGGGAGGAGGCTATAGTCGGCAGGGATGTGTCAAAGGCATGATTGATGGATGAAGTTTCCATTTCTTGTGACACCGGGCAGACTGGACGCTGTATATACAAGCCAGGTAGCATCAGCTAAAACTAACCAGAGATGGCTTGCCATTTTTCAGTGCATCGTAAAACCTGCAAGTGTCAGTCACGTTTTAAAGAAATAAATGTTTTAGGAGCAGCAGCGATACGTATGTTGCATTGTACGTACCGCAAAAGAGATTGTTCGATCACTGGATAGCCTACAGATTGGAATGTAATTGTGCATGTATGTTGTTGCCTTTCCAACGATTCAGTTGGAAGTGCCGCTAGTCCTCTCATTTTGTTCCTCCTTTTGTGTCTGATCAAAATACCATTTATTTTAGCTGATTTCAGCTTGATTAGCTTCCTATATCCCGGAAGAAAAGATAATACGATCAGAAAAAAAGAAACTGACCTTAGTGGCTCGTCAAAGCGCACCGAGGCAGCGCCATGTATGACGACGGACACGTCACGGATGATGCGTTCTCGATCCTCATTGGAGATTCCCATGTCCGGCTCGTCCAGATCACCAGGCACCACCACTATCTTGCCAAAAATGTCAGGCCGTTCGCATTGTATCTTGGAGAACAGCTGCGTCACCACAATGTAGGAATCTCAGAATAAATACGGGAAAGTTTGTCGCGGTAAAAACATTTTTTAGGCGAGAAATATTCTGCACAACTATAATTCTCACGGCAATTCATCTGACCATAGAAAGAGATAGTAAAGAATGACAAAACTGTACAGACAATTTTATGCAACGCGTGAAAATTTCCTGTGCAATAGATATGTTGGTTTTGTTTTAAAATATTATCTTAGGATGTGTTGTGCAATCTCCTCTGCTCTGTGTTGATTATGCACTCCATTATTTCAATGTATAGATGTTGAAAGAACAAAGTTTCTTTTTCTTGCCTGATTTAGTGTGTAAGACATGCTGGCTGTTATACGTAAGCGAAATTTAGCAAGGAAAAATGCGAAAACCTCACCCTGCATGCAGCGTTGTAAAAAAGAAGTGGTAAGCAGTTTCACGTGATCGCAAGACATGAACAGGCGAGCAAAGGGTGTGTGGTCAACGCGGTAGCAAAGCTGGGGAGGAACGAAGCCTACAGTGTGGTGAGAGAGAATCGCGTGATGAGGCACTGGCGGTGCCAAGCCTGAAACCGGGCATGATGGGAAAGGTGTTTTCGCTCCACTGACGTCGAAAGCTGCATGAGAATGCAGTTTATACGCCAAGGTGCTTCTTCTTCCATTATTCTCTTCTTGTTCTCCTTATTCTTCCTTAAGTGCCCGGTTACAGCTCCCTAGGGCACGGAAGTGCGTTTCAATCGCTTAAGTCGTGGGCTATTTTTAGGCTGACTAGTGACGTCATATTTAGTGGACCAGTGGTAAGGTGACAAGTAAAGGGATTGATTAAATTTTCGGGGCGAATGCCTGTTTTACGATGGACCATGACTACATGACGCTCCGTGACGCCATGACACGCCAAGCCGAGGCCCTAAAGTACTTCACACCTACAGAAAGCCGTACTCTTTCCGTAAAGGCCTGGCCACGAATCTGACGCAGCGCATCGGCGCGTGTCTTTTGACGCAGCGGCAAGTCCTCTCCCATGTACAGAGAGAGAGAGAGAGAGAGAGAGAGAATGGCTTCGCGTAGCCACTAGCCACGCGCCCACGTCAGAAAGCCTCGCGCTGACGCCCTGCGACGGAAACGTGGGGTAAGGCCTTAACTCCCTCGAGAGCGTCAGCGACCCGGTGAGCATGCGTGACCTCCTACATAACACACAGCGTTGACTGGTGCGTTTGCGGTTTACGTCGGCACCGCTAGAAAGGGCGGTTTAAAACGCGAAACGAAAAGGACAGCGCCCGCCTTGACGGCCCAACTGAGGCTTAATTCTGTTTCGGTCACGCGAGGACCAGTTTAAAGATTACAAACAACGGTGGCAGCTTTTTATACTTTCAAACACAGTCTGGAAGCATTTCGAATAAGAAACCACGTCCACAGCTTAGGATTAAGAGCCAATTTTTGCTCGAATCGTCTTCTAGTTATAAATGTCCCTTTCGGGCGCCAATACAGTGAGCTTTAATGAAAGGTGATTAGTGATAAAAAATTTTATTTTTTTAGAACTTAGAACACACGTCTTGAAACGGTTCTTGTTAGAGCTTCACCTCATGTTTGAGTGAGGCGTAACGAGTCTTGGCAAAATGTCTTGAAGGTTAGACTATTGGGATTTCGCTCTCGGTGCCAGCATGCCGTAAGATGATAACTTCCCTCCTTTGATCGTTAATAACGACGTTTTAAATCGGACATAGCTGCGGTATATGTTTTCCCAGTACGCACCTCGCATATTATTTTCAAATATATTTATCCTCATCCTTTTCTTACACCTTATACCGTTTGGCAGGGTGACCAACCGAACAGCTTTAATCTGGCAAACTTCTTTTTTATATGTTTCTTCTCTGCGTTTATTGTTCTCGCTACCGACAAGGCTGGGCATAAATTAACCAGTAACCTGATGCCTGTAAACTTTACAAAAATCATTGAGATTTTTCAAACTCTTAATGCTTATTTTCGATCATAGTGAAGGTTCAAGTAAAGTGGAGCAGGAGATTACGGAATTGAACACTGAAGTTTTAAACGTGTTAGCAAGCGGATGGAGAGGAAGTGGCGGCACGACATCTACTAGCTCTGTGAGAATGTTGCTGGTTTTAGCTGAAATTAGGGTGCACTGTTCTTGGCAAGTTATTTAGCATAATAGTGATTGCCGCATCGCAGAACAGAATGACAATGAAGATGATTGGCCCTCGTAGTTTTGTGATCATCTCCCCGCCCCGCAGCGCCTAATATTAGTATAATTAACCAGACAAGATCAAAAGGCTAAGCATTCTAGATGATGGCCAAACAAATGGCGGCCATAACGCGCCTTCCAAATTCCCACTTTCACTTCCAGCCCTCGCTGTGTATAAAACTGTGGCCTTCGAGATTTGCTCTTGTACTACGACCACAGCCCATCGCTGGGTATTGACAGTTGGGCAATATTCATAGGATGAATACAGGGCAAATACAAGACAACCTGGAGCGAAAGATGATATCCTAACAACCGCAATATTGAAAAGCTAAGTCTAGTAAGAGTTAGAGCTACGGCGTGGGAGAACTTGGAAACAAGAAAACTGGCTCAGAATCGATCGTAGTATCTCAAGGCCGAGTGAAGGCGGAAATTCTATGTGCCAGCTTTGCGCAGAGGCAGTGTCGCATCCAATGAAGTACCGTGCAATTCTCTGGCACCTCTCCCAGCACGCATTCATACGTGAAATAACAACTGTTTTTCGGGTCCAAAACTTGTTCTCTGTCCAAACCGCCGGCCGACTGGCTTAACGCCTTGAAATATTACACGAATGCGTGGCTTCGCTCTCGTGTGTTTACGCAATCAAGTAGTACCACCTCTGTACTTCTTACAGAAACACCGGCCGTGTACATAGCGATGAAACCATCTTCCCACAATGCTCAAAAGATTGCGCCCAACAAAGTCTTTAGCAGGCAATGTAGAATTTCCGGCGAGCGTTCAGAAGAATACGGCAGTTATACTGGTATACCAATTTGGCAAGAGTTTTAGACAATTCTAGATCATTCGACAGTTCCCGCGGGTAAGCGCAATAGTGAAAATCAAAATAGTATTGATGGGGGTTGCTCCATTGGTCGTTTTCAGTGCGCATACAGCGAAGTAATGACAGCGGTCCCTCGATTCCATTTATAATCGCGGCGTCCATGGCAACCACCGCCGTAAAGTTCCATCTCTCGCCGAACTTAACTCTAACACCACATAGACACTGCCATGAATGTGTGCGAATGGGCTACGCGGCTAGGAAGTAATGAAACAACAATCATCACGGTGGCCTTTTACAACACAGCGAGTGACTTGTACCAAAATATTGTTCTTTCATTACTCGCCTTGAACCATGCCGCTGGTAGGTTAAACAGCAGGGGCGTAGCCAGAAACGTTTTCGGCGGAGGGCGGGGGGGGGGGGGGGGTCAAACATGTATTTATATTTACGTGTGTGTTTGTGTGCGTGCGTGTATATACGCCAGGAAAAAAATGAGAAACGTCAAGAGGGTGCCACCCCCCCCCTCTCTCTCTCTCTGCCTAAGCCCCTGTTAAACAGTGCACGGGAATGTAGTTACGTTTTTGTTATGACAATCATTCTTGAATTGAAAGGAAAACAAAATATAAAAGAAGCTATGACTAGCAAAAAGTAATTGTCACTTCTACTTGACTTGGAGTATGTGAGAAAGGTTGCTGAAGAGAATAGACACAATGGCCGTAGAAGCGACGAAGTTTGAAAATCTCAGATGAACAACGCGCATGACTCACCTTTTCATTGAGGATCTGGTTGAGGCGGTCCTTGCTTTTGAGGCCCTTCTTCTCACGCACCAGAACGTAGATGTTGCCGATGTCGGGGCATGAACGCAGCAGCTTCTCCAGCACCACCTGAGAACGGACGAGGTTCAGTTAGAGAAACACCGCAAGATCAGCACTGCGCCCGACAGAGCATTTATCGGCAAATATGTAGCCCAATAGAACAAAAATAGTATTATGGACAGAGTATGTAGATTGGTTATTAAACAAAACCATTTTGAATAACCAAGAACATAAATATAAATGTAGCTATAGAAAATAGGTGCGGCACCAACTGGAAATTTTCGTCGTGAAACGGAGTCGAAAAGTAGCCAATTTGACGCAAAGTAGCCACCAACGCCAACGTAGTCCATGCTCACCGTCGGATGTATCCGCGGCCCATTTACTCTTTTCTGGTAGGTGGAGCGCTGGGATGTCGAGGCACCTAATTGGTGGGACATACGATGTCACCGCTTCCTTTGGTGTTCAATGCTAGGAAAGATCGTGGATAAGCTGGCGGCTTTTGTATTATTCCACGCTTGCTGTTCTGACTACGTAAATATATGCTTACGTACCTTTAATCACTGGAAAACGTCGGCCTGTACGCAAGAGATATAGACGATGGCGTGGGCGAGCTACAGACAAAGAGCTAACGCTGGACGCTGAACCTTACGCCGTTCAGCATGGTTTTGTTTCAGGAAGGTGTATTGCACGTTATTTTTTTTTTTTGAGAGGCGGGGGGCGGAGAGGGGGCAGCACACAATCTTCCACCCTCTTTGAGAGAACGTGCAGTGACACAGCGTTACATCTCACTCCTCCCTTCAAAGAATGCAATACGTAAACGGAGTGACACGCACACTTCTTGCATTGTTGTCATTTCTCCATCACGCACAAGCGAAATGAAACATCTCGATCGTTGTTTCACAAGATCCTCAGTTGACCGGTAACTATTGTTGAACGGCTAACGAGGTCCATTGCTCGGTTAAATATTCGGACGTTCTTGTTGTCGGATGTCCCTATTCCACGCGCGCGGGCTGTCGCCTGGCTACACAATATGTTGCATAGTTTTTGTGATTGCTTTCTATCGCTTGCTCAAATTTCTAAATAGCCTGAATACCGTGCTGGTGATACTATACCCTATGATTAAAAAATATATTTCTTTTGTTCGTGGTAACTGTTTGTAACCAACCCTCTAACTTTATTTATACTATTTATTCATTTGACACAGTGAAATAAATATATGTATTGACCCCTTGCTTGGGGTCATTACAGAGAGGGTATCTAAAATACATTATAGTGACACAATAAAGGAGCATTCGACAGCACATAGGAATAAGAGATGAATAGCGAGTACCAGAAGAAAATAAGCAACAAGCAACCGTGACGGGTTTGCTACCAGAAGAAACACCATACCGTTAGTACCAGAAGAAACAACTGTGACTACACACAAAGATCGAGGAACTGATCGATGATCGCACCAGAAGTTTGAGTGCATCGGTGACAGAGAAAGATTATACACGTAGTCTGCCCTTTCGATCTAATATACGTATATATAGAAACAAGGCCCTGCCATAGGTTAGCAAAACCTGTGGAGCTCGATCACTCACTCATGAGACGCATTTCGCGCTTCGGACTCAGACTCATCAAACTTTTCCTGACCGCCGGCTCACTCTCCCGAAAATTTGCATCAACCGAACTCAATCGGACTCAGAATCACTAAATTATTATTCACCTGTGCTCACTCGGATTCACGGTTCGACCTGAGTTCGAGAGAGTCGACTCGTGAGTTCGTTAGCCTGGAAGTAGCTTTCTTGACCAGGTTGTCAATGCTCTTAAACACCAATATCTCACGCAATTGATGCTCTTCTTTGCAACGTTTGATATGGTACCTTCGAATACGAGTTATGAGAGCTCGCAAATAAGCTAGATCATTCCCCCCCCCCCCAAAAAAAAAATATTACATAATGTATTTATCAAGCACTTCTCTGGAAGAGTTGGCGGAGGTGGGGGGAGGGGACACTAAGACATGCCCCTTGTGTAATTAACGCCACAGATTAACACATTTTGAAATGGTGGATGAACTACACTGATTTGGAATATATGTGAATAGGAGTAGTATTAACGTTAATTTAGGTTAGGCTAATAGTAATGCCGAATCTCAGTATAGGTCGTCAAAATAAAGTTGTCCTCACTTAGACTCACTCAACAAATATATCTTGCGCTTTGGACTCACTCGGGCTCAGACTTACCAAACTGTTTCTGGGCCGAACTTACACGGACTCAGACTCACCAAACGTTACTCACCCACACTCACCCAGGCTCACGGCTTGATCTGAGTCTGAGTGAGCTCGCCGGCCTTTGCGCAGTCACTCGAGCGTGAACGCACATCGCATACGTTCTTTTAGGGTCGCCGTGGCGGATATGCTCATCTCCTGCCCCACCGCGGTGGCCTAGTGGCTAAGGTACTCGGCTGCTGACCCGCAGGTCGCGGGTTCGAATCCCGGCTGCGGCGGCTGCATTTCCGATGGAGGCGGAAATGTTGTAGGCCCGTGTGCTCAGATTTGGGTGCACGTTAAAGAACCCCAGGTGGTCGAAATGTCCTAGCCCTCCACTACGGCGTCTCTCATAATCATGTGGTGGCTTTGGGACGTTAAACCCCACATATCAATCAATCAGCTTCGCAGTGCTCGGCTGCTCACCCGAAAGCGTTGATGCGTCACTGCCATGGCGGTCGCTATTCGATGGGGGCGACATGCTAAACACACATGTGCTTAAATTTAAGGGGGCTCGTTAGAGAACGTCATATGATGAAAATTTTCGGAGCCCTAAAGAACGGGGTGTCACATTTTCATATTACGGTTTCGGCGCATACAACCCCAGATGAAATTGTCGACTGAGGCCGAATGTCAGAGGTATGTGCACTGTGCGATGTCAGCGCGTGTTACGGAATACCGCGGTGGTTGAAATTATTCGGAGTCCTCCACTGTAGCATCTCCCATAGCCCGATTCACGCCGGGGGGCGTTAGATCCTCATAAACTGACCAAACTTTTCTTGGGAAAGATTCTTTTCGAGGACTTATTTACCATGCGATGGTCATTTACAGAAAGCAGGTGGAAATGCAATCGTATGTTTTTGCTGACCGAGACGACCATCTGCCTTCCCGATAGAAATGACGTATGCGTTTGCTTCGGCGTTTTCCACCATGCCAAGAGGAACAAGCGTGATTCGCGCGAGTAATCGTCAATATTGCGTGTAGCACTCGCGCTTTCACGTAAACAATTGATGCCGCGGGTTTCCGGATCAGCTTTCAATAAAGGGCCGTCGGCGCTTAGCGATAGCTGCAGGCCTCTCGCCAACAGAGAGGAAGGAATGAAGACGCGGCCTCGACTCGCTGCGGTGGAGGAAAAAGAAGCAGCTCGGGGTTTCGTACGAGGAAGAAAGAGAGAAATATGACCATATTTTGTGCGCAATCGATAACGCGAGAGTGGAATCGGGCGCCTTCGATAGAAACGGTGACCAAACGCGCATCGACGCACACGAGTCATCGCGATGACGCCGATGTGACAACCTTTACGTAACTCTCTTTACGACACTTTGTAGCATTAAAGAACCCCAGGTGGTCAAAATTTCCGGAGCCCTCCACTACGGCGTCTCTCATAATCAAATGGTGGTTTTGGGACGTTAAACCCCACAAATCAATCAATCAACACTTTGTAGCAGGTAACAACTTGGGGTGCAGTATGGAAGAGTACTACGTAGTATTTTCTGTTATCACGTGGTAGAAACTGTCCCAACGGCAGAGAGCGGTAACCAAGGTATTTCACATTATACGTTGACACGCATAACCAACAATAGGTCTGGACACTTGCGTACCCCGTGCGTGTCTAAAATCAGTGAGCCCATCTGACCTGACGCGAGCGATTTATTGCATCTGCTACGAGCGAATCGATTTGCGTCGCGTTTTGTGGCGGCGCCGGCAATAAGCACGTTGCATGCAAAGTCCTTAGCCTGCCCCACCCGCCATTGTTTTCTTTAGAGGACCATTGCGCAAAGATGCGTGTGAGAACGTGCCAAACACTTTTTAGGCAACACCTGTCGATAGAGGAAAGCACATGAAATGCCAAATTGTGTACGTCTTTATTTCAGTTATAATTTCCGAATATCGGCTCCGCGACATGGCCAATCGCGGAATCAGTACAGTATACTCCCTGCGGAATCAATCTTGCAATTGATTCCGCAGGGAGTATACTGTATACGCCGTAACCACCCTTGATTTAGAATCACAGTGACAGTTGTTTGACCTTATACTGTTGTTGGCAACAGCTTCGCAATTGACTGCAACGCACGAGGATAAAATATGTAGTTCCTGACAGCGACATCACTCGTGCATTAAACATCGGGATTCCCAAGTTGTGATGCTGGGCACGGAAACACCGCTTCTGTTCTTGGCTTTTTTTTTTATTGATATGGTATATAAGAGACGTTGGTGCGCAAGTAAGGTGCCGGCTACTCCTTAGCCCTTGAGTGAACGTTAAAACATACATTTTAAGGGAAAAAAACAAAGACCAGTTTATTTTTTCCAAGTGTCCTCAATTGACGGGGGTATGGAAATACAGCATGTGGGTCGGCCACGGAGACGGCGCAATGCAAAAACACTAACGCACTTACGTAACAAGGTTATATAACAGCTCGCTTTTGCACGGGCTCCAGCATAGTGTTTACTCGCAAGACACTGGCATCATTGCAGCAACCTTCGCACTCCCAAGTTGCGTGCAATAACGGGCGTCGCCTCCTCAACACTGCTTTCATCAAAGCACGTTGCATTGCCTCCCCGGAGGCCCAGATGGCTATATACCGGCTTGTCGTCGCTCGGCATTGCTGAGTAACTCAGGGGACGAATTGCAACTCATGATTACGGAGTTAGACAAGGAGAGCAGGAAGGTGGGTCTTAAAATTAATCTGCAGAAAACGAAAGTAATGTACAACAACCTCGGAAAGGAGCAGCGCTTCGAGATAGGTAATAGTGCACTTGAAGTTGTAAAAGACTATGTCTACTTAGGGCAGGTAATAACCGCAGAGCCTAACCACGAGA